ATTATTGTTGCACTTCTGAGCATAACTTTCAAATTTAAAAAATCTATGAAAAGAAAATTTGAGACAAATTTTTTTTTATAGATTAATAGACTCCCCTTTTAAAGCTGAATTGAATGGTGGTAAGTTTTTTAAAATCCAATGAGTGGATCACATAATATTTCAAAATTTTTAACTTTTGAGTATAGATGATTCGCACTGTATAAAACGACAAAAATAAGATATATAATGCGAAACAACAAAAACAATAACTGCTTAATTGCGAGAAATTATATAACTTACAACATAATAGAATTTCCTATTTTTCTTTCTACTTGTCTGCTATCTATAAGACTGTTGTTTGCATCATAAACGAAAAGAGAAATCCCATCATGCCTAACTTCATCCCGTGTAACTTCATCCAAACCAAAAGTATTAATGTTACGTATTATTTAACTATTTATTACATTTTGAAAATCATCTTCCAGTGATGATGGTGAAGTTGAAAAGAAAGTATACCAAAGCTTACCCAAATTAAGAATTGTATTTCAAGACTTAATCAATAAAAAAGAGGCCACGATAAGAGCAAGTTCACCATTAACTTCAACATATAAGAATAAATTTATTCAATAAAATATATAATATTAATTTTTTCTTATGCAAAATTTATAGCCTTGTGTTTATTATAGAAGTGATGTAAAAGTTATTTATCTTTTAATTATCAAAGAAAATTGTTCATTTTTTTAATTAATATCTATAAACAATATATAGGCTACAATGAAGATTCTTTTTTTAAATATGTATAATACGTACATTCGCGTCCAATAATCAATAAAACTTTTTACGTTTCGCGACTTTGCATTAATTTGATTTCAAGACGTTATAGGACCTGGAAACTTTTACATAATTAAAAAACATATGGGTGAATTAAAAGGTCAGTGACTTTCAAGTGTATATCCAATGACATAAATTTTTTTAAGCTTTTATATCTGGTCAAATAAAATGGGAAATATAAAAAATATAAATTTAATAAATTTAACAAACTATTAACGAAAATTGCGATTTAAATGATGATGTTGATGATCAAAGGTAGTTATAGATAATCTATATAGTTATGTTTTGTTTGTCATAATATTAACATCGCCTGTATTTGGCGATTTTTCCGTAGTGCACTGTACTACTAAAAGAATTCAAAAAAAAAAAAAAAAAATAGTATATTTAGTATAGTTGTTTTTTTATACTTTTAATTTTTAAAACAAGACGCGCGCCAACAACAGAAAATCAATGAATTCTAAGCGAACAAAACCGATTCGACCGACAATGCCAAAGTCACAACAACAACAACAACAAAATAAAAAGGGTAAACAGCATTTGCCGCGAAAAAAAAAACCCAAAGATAATAATGATAACAATAACAGCGACTACAACAGTAGTAGTAATAATAATAGTAATAATAGTACCTCCACCAATAGTGAAAAAGATAGCGATGCTGATGATAACAAGAAAAATGATAATACTGATAGTAAGGATCCATCTCTTGTGCTTGAGCAGTTTGAGGATGAAGAATTTCCAAGTGAGGATGAATTGTTCAAGATGGCCCTTGCGTCGCCAATGGAACAACAAGGCAATAAATTTAATGAAAAGAAAGAGAAAATATCTGACTTAACAGGGCTAACAGCACTTCACCTAGACAATGACAAATATGAATCTGACTATTTATCAGATTTCGATGCTGATAAGGATGAAGCTCTTAACATTCCCGGTGAGCTAGTATTGGCTTATAGTATGTGGAAATTTTATCCAGCAAAAATTGTAGGCTATGAAAAGGTGTATCATCAATCACACTATTGTAATTATAATTAATGCTGTTGTTTACTTGCATAATAATATAGTATTAATTAAAATTTTATTTAATATAGCCTAATAAATATCATGTAGTTTTCTGTGATGGATCCAAAAGAACACTTAAAAGGAAAAAATTTTACACTCTATGGCAAAAAGGATTTAAAACTTGTCCGGTTCTCTAAAAAATCTTATTTGGTTTTTTTTAAAAAAGATTTATATTTACACATTTATACTTACATATATATATTTTTTAAAAAAAATAAATAGGTGGGAGATATCGTAATGGAAAATGAGAATCCAGATTATAGAGATCCAGAACTAATCACTGCAATTCAAGAACTTGAGCCAATATTATCCAAAGTTTTATTGGGTGATGAAAAATCAGCTTGGAGATATCAAAATTTTGTTGAAGGTGGGAAAAGGCGTCGGTTATTGGCTTCTCATGTCTCTCAGGGACCTTTTAATAATTCTGAGTTTGGTTTAATCCTAAAAGTATTAAGACACATGTATGTACCTGAAGTTGCAAAGGCTATAGATAAAACTGATTTTATAGAACCATCTGAATTGATAAAATCAATGGAAACAGTTATCAAACAGCAACAACAACAACAGCAACAAGAAAAAGACAAGACTGTACAATCGCTTCCTCAACAACAACAAGAACTAACTCACCAACAACAGAGCCAACAAGAGCAATCATCGCTACCATTGTCATTTTTATCATCTGTTCCATTTCCAAATACTCATGACATTAAGCAATCTTCTCCATCGTCATCATCAAGTTCATCTCACAATCCTCGTAAACGTAAACAATCATCACCATCACCGTCATCATCACCGTCACCATCACCATCGCCATCACCATCATCGTCACCATTCTCATCAACAAGTCCTAATAAACGTAACAAGTCATCACCGTCACCGTTATTATCATCGTCAATTTCACCCTCTAATAATCTTAATAAAAAAAACCATAAAACATCATCACCTTCATTACCGCCGCCATCAAGTTCGCTTCCAAATTATAATAAATGCAAAAATGAATTTTCATCATCATTCTCATCCTCCTTATCTGATTCCACACAATGTAAACTACCACAACTACAAAAAGAAAATTTATCACCATCATTCAAATCATCATCTACATCTTCATTATCATCAGTACAATCTATTTCATCCTCTGACCCTTCGGACTCTTTAAAATCACTGCCAGCACCAACCGCTGTAATATCACAACCAATATCGTTACCAGATGATAGATTAAATTCTCCTTTTTTCATTTATTCACCTGACTTGCAGCACAGATTTGTAAATGATGTATTGGTACCTGAAACTATCATTAGGTTAATTATGAAATCAGATGAATTAAGTTATGAGGAGGCAGATCTAAAAATGACCGATGGCTATGAAGACTTGAGTTGGGTAGAAACAATAATGACCTCCAGAAGTGTTTTCACTTAAAGAATAAATAATATATAATAATAGTTGGCAGTAATTATTGTAGTAGTAATAGTAGTAATAGGTGATAATTATAGCATATTATAATAATCACATCGAAAAAAGTGGTTTTTATTTTCAGTCTTTAAAATCTCATTTATATAATGTAGATTATACGATAAATTGTTTAATATTTTGTGAAATTTTATTTTTTTTGATTAAATATTAAATAAAAAAAAATATAAAATATATATAAAAAAAAATATTTAAATTCATTTGTTTTTATAAAAGAAAAAAACCATTTCATAATTCATAACCATAATGTAATTTTTCATCATCTCTATATATATATATTATTATTTTTTTTATACAAAAAGTTGGATTGAAGTCACCATTACATAGTGATTATACTCTTCAACTTTCCTCACCCGCTAACCAACAAAAGTATACCTTTAGTCTTTAGAAAGCTTTGGTTCATGATCTTTCTTTGTAGTGATAGTAACAGTAGTAGCAGCATCAGTAGTAGCAGCATCAGGCTCTTCTGATTTTCTTTTTATAGGTTGTGGTGACATGGCCTCATTTGATTCACCGCCACCCACTGCTTCCTTTTTACGGCGTTTGACCAAACGTCCCTTTTTGGTAGCAGTGGTATCTTCAGCCCTTCTCTTCAATTGTTGTTCTCGAAACTTGGTGTCGAGTTCATCATCATCAAGTAACAAAGACACAATTTCTCGTGGTTTAAAATCAACTTGTTTAAACTCACCACCAGAAATTACTACCCGTTGGATCTATTTTTCATAAAATAAAAAGAACGAACGAATGAATTATATATTGTATGTACGTGTTGTGATTGAAAAAATTCTACAAGTTAATAAATACCTCATCTTTTTGTTTTGCACGCTGTAATATTCTTTCTTCGATTGTGCCTTTAGTAATAAGTCTATATACTGTGACTTGTTTTGTTTGACCGAGTCGATGTGCACGATCCATAGCCTATATTAATAATAAATATAATAATAATAATAAATATATAAATTAATAAATTTTTTAATAATAATAATAACTATAAATATTATGCATGTCATTACCTGTTGATCAACTGTAGGATTCCAATCACTATCGTAGAAAATTACAGTGTCAGCAGCAGTCAAATTAATACCTAGTCCACCCGCTCGAGTACTCAACAAGAAAATAAATATATCGGATCTAACATGTTTATTATAAATATGAATAAATATAATAAACAATCATTATTTAAATATTAAACAATTTTTACCTTGACTGCCAATCTTCAACCATATCACGACGATCAGATATTTTGGAAGAACCATCAAGTCTTAAATACTTGTATTGACGATATGCCAGGTATTCTTCCATCAAGTCAATCATGCGAGTCATCTGAAAATAGATTAATACACGATGTCCACCAGCTTTCAATTCTTCTAAAAGTTTGTCAAGTGTTGCTAATTTCCCAGAATCCATAATAAGTTTTTTCATAGCTGAAATAATAAAATTTTTTTATTAGATTATTTTTCATAAATTTTTTTTTAAAATATTTTTAATATTTTAATAAACATATATCATTCATTAATTTTATTCATTCATACCCGGAACTTGCATATATGAGAAGCCTTGACCTTTGAAATACGTCCGACCATGGATACCTTTACCACCTGATTGTTCTAAATATTTCCCAACAATATTACTTTTTCTTTCTTTTTTAGGCAACAATTCTATTGTGCCAGTAAACGAGGATCTGATTTCTGGTTCAAAAAGAATACTGTTTTGGTCGTTATGAAAACATTTATCATGGCATACTATTCGGATAGGAGGAGCAATAACCTATATAAATACATTCATAGTAAATAAATAATGAGAATTGATTTCATATTTTATATTTATAATTATTATAAATCTTACTTTTGGCATGTAGCATGGATTTTGCATTTGAATTTCATATTTTGTAGTATGTTCAAATATAGTTGTTAATCCAGTTAAAATATCAGAGTTCTCAACATTTGTCAACGAAAGGGCAAAAGACGTTTCAGAAATCAAAAATTTTGCGCGATTATTAATCGCAGCAATTGGATAACTGTATATATCAAAAAAATTAATTTATTCATCAATTCATTATTTTTAATGTCAATCGATCAATCACCAAAATTCAAAGCCGGTTATTAAAACTAACCTTTCAGGATTTTCATCTGTTATATGCACTCCTCTAGATTTATAATTTAAAAGGTGCATTAACCATTTTTGAACAATATTACTACGGAATATAGAAGATGCTTCTGATGGGCTTGTATCAATAAATCTTAAAAATCCAAATGTATCTAATATACATAACAATGCGAGATTAACATAAAAATATTAGTATTTTATAATAAACAAATATAGTGTAATGCAAATATTTATTACCATTTTCGTAATCATTAATCGATTTATGGATATAATCAGGAGACCAGATATTCATCAAGTGGTCTAGAACAAATTTACGAGATCCAGCATTTGAATTTTCACGAGGTACTTCTAATATTCCACCGTCCCGATAAACCAACTTTGGAAGATGATATGATATTAAATTTTTTGTTGAGTAAGGCAGGTATAACTTGTCACCTTCTCGAGATATCATCCAAGTGTTGCTATAAGCACAAAAGGAATATGGAGATGTGACATCTGCTCGTTCAAATAATTCAGGATGATTACAAACTTTTCTGAATTGCATGACCAAGTTCATTAAGCTATCAACACTAGAATCATTTTCAGACAGTGTAGCTGCACGTTCCAATAGTTCAGATACAGATATTTTTTCTCTAAGACCACGATATAACATTCTTTGTCTAGCGGTTAAAGTACAAAAGACCTCTTTCTCAATCTTTTCACCAAGTTCATTCTGGACAGTTTTCTTAACACGACGTAACATGAATGGTTTTAGAATCATGTGTAATCTTTTAAGTTGGAATTCATTTAATGATCCTTTGTTTTCAGCATGACTTTCAATATCCTTAGAGAACCATTCACTAAATTCTTGATGGGAATCAAAAAGAGTTGGCATTATGAAATGTAACAAAGCCCATAATTCTTGCATACTGTTTTGTATTGGAGTACCAGTTAATAAAAGACGATTTCGACATTGGAAACCAAGGAGTGCTTTCCAACGAGCACTTGTGCTACTTTTGATAGCCTGTGCCTCATCTAAAATCATGTATTGCCATTTCGTTCTCTCAAAATAAGATTTGTCCTGCACTACTAATTGATAACTAGTGATGACAACATGGAAAGGCGCATCTTTGTTAAACATGATATTTTTCTTATTTAATGTTTTTCTTAACACTTTACGAGTGCTAGGATTTCCCCAGTATGGTAGTATCTTAAAGCTAGGAACAAACCTAGCAATTTCTTGTTGCCAGTTGTGTAGAGTTGATGAAGGAGCAATCACTAAGAATGGACCCCATATGTTCTGGGATTCTGCTAAATGAGCCATCAATGAAATAGATTGGACAGTTTTGCCAAGACCCATTTCATCAGCTAATATTCCATTAATACCTTGTTCATATAGATTAGCCAACCAATTCAATCCTTTTATTTGATATTCTTTTAATGTACAATTCTGAAGTAAAAAAGGCTGTTTAATTTCAGTCATTGGTGGCATACTAGAAGGATTTTGGAAGTTCATATTATCAACTATTTATTTATTTAATTATTATAAGTAAATTAGTCGAATAAATTAAAAATCGAAGTAAAAGTTAATAAACAAACACAACACGTGATACTAATATAATTTACTTACGATCTGCATTTGATACAGTCATATCAGCAGTAGATTTGTTTGCTATTCTATTATTATCAAAATTTTGTGTATGTTGTCTAACTTGAGCAAGAGCATTTTGAGCACTTAGAAAAGCCTTCTTTTTCAACGAAGATTCATCTTCTTGATCAAAATTAATATCTTTGAATGATTCGAATGGTTCATTATTAATAGTGTCCATATCAATATCACCAATTGTTAGATTATCTGTAGAGATGACATTTGAAAATGATTCTGATGCAGAAGCTGTTGTAGTGTCAGTTGTTTCATCTGCTGAATGAGCTTCAAAAATAGAAAATATATTAAGTTTTTTATTTTAATACAAAAATAGTCTGAAAAAAAGGTAAACTTACTTCCAATCTTTTTACCGACAAAATGGCTATACAATTCAGTTTGAGTTATAAGGAAGTTAAGTTTACGTGCTTGCCTTCTAGCTTCACGCAATTCCTCTTCAGCACGCAAAATCTCCATTGCTTCCTTTTCGGCTTTTTTGCGATCCTCACGTTCATTTTTTTCATGCTTCTTCCAATAACTCAATGCCTATAAAAAGGTCGTCATGGTTAATATATTCATTTAATTGTATCTTGTTTACAAATTAAATTTTTAAAAGTAAAATACCTGTCTCGTAGCTTGTTTGCATTTAGCCTGGATGTCTTTATGAGATTTTGAGGCCTTTTGAACACCTTTTATTGCTTCTTTTCTTATACAGTTTGAGACTTTTCTTGAATTACTAAGTTTTGAATTGATAGATTGTTGAACAATTTTGTGAACCTATTTGAAAATTTAAATGATGTCATTAAAATGACATCTCCTCTAATATATCTATATAAAATCAAAACTATCGAGTAATCAAAGAATAATAATAACTTTTGGAATTGCATTTCGAGCTATATCTTTCCAAATTCTACGTCTTTCTTCTAAATCGTGAGCTTCTTTTTTTTGAATTTTCAACTCGGATGTAACATGCTTTCGTCCCTCATCTTCTTCCTACATATTATAAATGATAATGATAATATTTAACAATTGATAAATATGATCCTGATTTTAACTAATTACTTTATATATGTGTGCGTGTGTGCACTTTAGATTGTGTACCTCAACTTCCATAGAAACAGCAGCTCTTGATTTACGTGATGGTTTTCTCTTTTCAGATTTACCTTCGACTTCAGGCTTACGTATAGATTTACGATTACCTCTTTTATTTTTAGGTTTTAGTTTAGTGTCTTTTTTATTAATATGGCCAGAAATTTTGTTTTTTCTATTCCCCCGACTGGCAAGTCTTGCCATGTATTGTTCACGTAGCCTTTCAGTTTTTATCTTAACAAAATAATAATTAATAAATAAAAGTTATGTAAATAATAATCAATTAATTTGTTATTTATATACCTTTTGACGTTTATCATATTCAGCAATAACACGCCTGGTACGCTGACGTAATTCTACCATATACTCAATTGCTACTTTTTCATTGTTTAATAATTCATTTTGACTATCAGACTCACTATCAGAATCTGATACAGAATCTGCGGTAGTGTCACTTGAATTGTCAACATCCATACTGTCAAGAGTAGTTGATGAATCAGAAGTATTGTTATTTAAATCATTATCATATCCAGGTTCATTAAAGATTTCAGATTTTTTTGCTTGAACCTTTCTTGATCTTGTATTAGATTTGCTTAATGGTTTATTTTCTCGATTAGTTTGAGTTTTTGTTGTTGTGCTAGAAGTTATAAATTGTTTTAAATTAATATCAGTATTATTATTAATAATACTAGAGTTTGATTTTTCAAATATCGTAATTGGTTTATAATCAACTTCTTGGATGAGATCTATTGAGTTAATATCAGATGTGCTAGATGTTAAATTAGATGATGACGGTGATGATGAAGATATTTTTGATGTGTCTTTTTTGGGTGATGATGATGAAGTGATTATTGATGCTTTAGATGCGTGAGTTTTGAATGGTGACGGTGATATTTTAGATGATGTTAAAGATGCATTGTTTAAATTAACTTTAGTTGATGCGAATTTTTTAATTCTATTGCTGTTATTATCTATTTTCTTTTTTGCATTAGTTACAGTGGGCGAAAAATTAATAATAGTATTCGTTGAATTAATCATATTCTTGGAACTTATCCTTGATTTTGTTCTGGGATGTTCATCCGTATAATTTATAGGTGTAGTAGTGCTTGAAATATCGTGTTCTTGAGTGATTGTTTTATTTTGGTTTGAACGATTTTTATTAGATTTTGATTTCTTTATTAAAAAAAAAAAAAAAAGAAAAATAATTAAACAGTAAATATATGTTGATGTGTTTACGTGTACATATACATATGTGTGCGTGTGTGATATTTACCACTACCAAACCATTTCCTGATTCGTGAAATTTTTGTGATTTAACAGATATATTATCCATATCTTCTTCAGTTGGTTCAACGTTATTCAAAATAGATTTGTTTTTATAGTTGGTAGTATGTTGAGTGATGAATGTTGTTAACTTGTCATTTGCATTAATAAATATAGGGGTAGTGCGAGTGGAAAATATAGGTGTGGAGAAGGAGGAGGAGAGGGAAGGGGAGTAAGAGGGAAAGGATGAAGAAATCAAGCCGTTGTTATAATTATTATTACTATTATTAAATTGAGTAATTGTATAACTGTTGTTATTAACGGTAGAAGAAGAAGAAGACGAAGGAGTGGTTTTTTCAACTTTTGATTTAGTAGATAAAGAATAAATTGAATCTTCGTTTGGTTCTTTATTCAATAATTGATCTATATTCATTATTATAGGTTAAAAAGATGTTTTATTTATTTATTTATACAAAAATAAAGTTTGAAAAAATATTACTTTGAAAATTTATGGGGATTTTTTATTATGTCACTGAGGGGGGCATTGATCTTACGTAAATGATTTTTTTTTTGTTAAATCTTTTTTCAATATTAAATTCAGCACGGTATGATCATAATAATAACATTATGAATATGTTGGCAAAAACCCGTTGGTTTTGAGGTGGGGGCCATTCATTGGTTTGACGGGTTGTTGGATAGTAAAATAATTTTTTTTAGCGGACCAATGTAAGTTAATTATCATTTAAAAATACTCGTGTTTAACGCCGAGACACAATAAGATATAAGATTTGAAAAAAGGGCCAAAAAACCAAATCAGCTGATATGCATAGAATAAATTAAATAACGACATTACTTGATTTAATTCACTCATTCTCATGCGGAAATTTTTGTTCAAATACAATAAATATATAATAGGAAATACACAAATAAATAACTAATTAAAAAAAATTCTAATTTGAAATAAATAAATAAATCTTCTAATTCATTGATAAGAATCTATGCGTAATTCCTTTAAAACTGCCACGGCTTTACTATGTTTTTGAATGGCTGCCAATTTTATATAATATAAACCCTTTTCCTTGTCTTGTATTACTCCATGTTTACCATAATAATACAATGATCCTAATAAATATCGTGCTGATGAATTCTTATTGTCAGCTGCCAAAGTGAAATAATGTATTATTTGATTTAATGTATTAGGATCTGGACCATTTGCCTTCGAGTCATCAAGCAATATATGTGCGTATCGAAGTTGTGCATCTGGTACACCTTCTTCAGCTGCTTCTCGAAAATATTCAGTTGCTTTTTTCTTGTCTTTTTCCAAGCCTGCATAGCCTTCCAACAAATAATATCCATACCAATATTTTGCTGTTTTGTTATTAAGTTTTACATGCTCAATAAAGATTTTTAAGGCTTCATCTTTGCAACCTTTTTTATGTTTAGAAATACCTTCTAGCATTGTAGGTATATTAACGATTTTTGAAAGGTTTTTTGTTTCTGGTAATTTTCCTTTTACCTTTTTTGATAGAATTGGTGATCTTATTGACGATGGCGGAGACTTTGAATCTGGATTAATTTGATCTGCGTTACTGGTTGAAAATTCTTTTTTAAGTTTTATCTCGGATGCATCACGAGGCCTTAACCATGGCGAATCACCAACTTTAGTTTTTTCTATTGTAATAAGAGTATTCAAGTCGAGCACGATTTTTTGAAATGTTGGTCTACAAAAAGGATCTCCACTCCAAGCTATATATAAATATATATTATTTATATGTTTTTTCACACAAAATATCAATTTTGATATATATATATATATATATATATAAATCACCTTCTTTCATAATTCTCAAGTATTCATCTTGTGACTTTTTAACTTCAGGTTTTTGTGATTTAAAATTGACTATTTCTCTACCATTGTTTGTTACATGTTTTTTTATTCGATCTATAGTCCATCCTTCGTATGGTATTTTTTCAAATGCTAATTCCCACATAAGCATTCCAAAGCTACAATATAAAATATATTAACACATTTTATTATTATTATTATTATTATTATTATTATTATTATTATTATTATTATTATTATTATTATTATTATTACCCTCATTATCATTATTACACAATTAATTACCTGAAAATTTCACATTGTTTTGTATATGGAATTTTTTGATTCTTCAATTTTTCCGGTGCCATCCAATTTACAATATTTAACAATAATAGATCATTCAATTCGACACTTAATAAAACCTGATCATTTTTACGTGATAGTTTAAAGTTTGTAATCTTAGGAATGTAGCGATCACCCAGCTGTTTATTAAATTAGCATTTTATTAATGACAAAGTAAATAAAATTTTCGTCATTAAAAATCTTATAAATTACCAAAATATTTTCACATCTAATGTCATGATGAAGATAATCAACCGAATGTAAAAAAGTTATTCCTCGACAAATATCAAGAACAATTTCCAATTTTTTTGCCCATTTTATTTCTGTATTTAAATAAAAATCTCTCAAATTTCCATGCTTTGCCCATTCCATCACCATCACTTTATTTCTGTTTATTGTGGAGATTCCATAAAATTTTATAATATAGTTACATTCATTACCAATTTTCTTTAAGAATGCTATATTACGTGGAAAACCCTTTGGCTTTCCCTCTAAAGATGCATCACTTTTACATGCAACATAATATCCTAACTTACAATATTTCATGAAAACTTTTCCTCCAGAAGGCTTACTTTCTCTACACTCGATTGGAGGGTCTATTAATTCAATGTCCACAATCTCTGGTACATAAACACCCTCTTCATCATTACTCCTCTGTTCAGTATGCTTAGCATTTGCATTTTCATCAAGTTTATTTAATAAATCTTGTCTCATTAAAGAAATTTGTTCTAGAACCTTATTGATTTTTTTGTTATTGTCAGCAACACCTCTTCCTATAACATCTAAAAACTATCATTAAAAACAAATATAAACGATAATTTAGTAAAATACATTAATTACATACACTTTATTTGTTATTCATTAATAATTAATTTTATTTGTTTACTTATTTACCTGTGCCATTTCTTCAATATCATCATCTAAATCAGTGATATCTTTACAGCGTTGTTCTTCATCAGCAACGCATTTAGTAAAATGTAAATCAATGATAGCTTGATCATATTCTTTGATTAACTCTTTAAATTTTTTTTTGATAGCTTTAGAATCTGTAAATTTTCGTAATCCATTAAGTTTTGACACATCGCGTACAAAATTTTTAATATCTTCCAAATTTTGAACTAATCGATAAAATGATCTATAGTATACAGCATTACAAAAATTTTCTTCGTGTTCTTCTCTCCTTCTTATTAATATTTTAACACTAAATTCTACTGCTTGTATTCTGTCAATTAAATTTTTACAGGTTTTTTTATTATACTCTACATTTTCAAGAATTTTTAATGTTTCATCTGTGATAGTAGCTATTAAGCCTATTAAACTTACATAAGGTGCAAATGCTGATTTTGTATATATATATATATATATGTATGATTAAAAAAATGATTAATAATTGAAATCCTTTTTTTTTTTTTTTTTTTAAAAATAAATTTTTTTTGTTCTAACCCACCTTCACTCACTTCTCCAATTCCTTTTAATATATCAGGTGTAGCATTTGCTACTGGAGGTAAATCATTTAACTTACTTCCAACATCAGTTGCTGTTGACCTAATCACTGAAATAACATTTTTAGTCATTTTTTATCATTTGAAATTTTTCCACACTTTTTAATATATATAATAATAATCGACTACAACTAGTACAAACTTGGAAACTATCCGCAGAAAAATGTATAACGTGGTATGCGGACTTTGCGGACCTTGGACTTCGTACTGTTGATGATTTTATTATTGTTGCCAAAATAATTTTAATGCATTCATTTATATTAACATATATATACTAATACAATATAAAGATGATTAATATTAATATTAATATTAACCTTTTTTATTTTATTTTTTTTCCAATACCCTTGCATTGTATATTAATATGGCGGGACAAAAATTACAAGAGTTGTAGGAGCTCTTAATAAGATGCTCATTATAGAGAGAAAAGTTGTGTAATTAATAATTTATATATTTCGAACTATTCATATTAAGATATCTCTTCTCCTTGTAGTCTTGCAAATTAAAGAATTTATTTTCTCCATATAAAATGGCATCATTACAAAACTTCTTTTAACCAAATTTATAATCTAATCTTAATCTAATAAATTCAAACTTTAGGAATAAAAAAAAAATGTTTTATTAAACAAAAAGTTTATAAATCAATAAATCAGTAAACTATAAATTAAGTTAATATTAAATAATTAATTAATACAAAATGAAAAAAAAAATTTTAAATCGCACAAAAAAAATTTTTTCTCTGAACACGTAATTACAGTAGTTATTTTTATATAACCACCATTATTTGACATCATATATACCATTAAATTTATCTAATATACAACTTGATGGTGACATGTTTGCTAAAAAAACTTTCTCTCGACACTATTTATACAATATATTTATACTTTACTAACTTTAGTATTACGATGACAGTAAATAAAATAATTAAAAAGTCTTGTTTCGAGTATATTGATCCGCATCTTATCTTCCGCTTCCATCTTTCTTATTTATGATATCCTTTTCCACTTTTCACAGTATATTCCATCCCTGCCTTATTTATTTTATTTCCATATTTGATGTCCAGTATGTTCGATATTTTTCATATATCCATCGATTTATGATGTTTTAAAGGACAAAGATTCTTGAAGAAGATATACTATAGGGCAAATTTCCGATCATGTGATAATTGCCTTATACTTTTTACATGTTTAAAAGTGTTATTTATACATGTATTTTTTCATCATATTAATATCCTAATTTTATATATGTAGAGTATCATTTTATTTTAATAAAAAATCATTTGAAGTTATATATAATTGTGTTATTATAAAAAAATTGAGATAATTATCGTGGTAAATATACACTTCCTGGAACTTTGATTCTCAAAATTACATATAATAAAAAAATTATTATTTCAATTATACCCTTTTTGAGCTATAAAACAAGAAGCCATAAAAATAAAAAGACATTATAAAATTACTAATATCACATATTAGATATAAATTTAGATTTATAATATTTGACATCCACAGTTGCTCATTCATGAAAAAGTTACTTTTATAAATTCTACACAAAAAAAGTTTTTATACATAATCCTAATTTAAAATTGCTAATTTTTCTTTGCTAATTTGTATACTTCATATTCTAACAAATAAGCTTTTACTTTTTTCCTATCATTCTCAAGATTTTAATTATTCTGATAAAAATTACTATTAAATTGATAAATACAATAAGGTTCATTATTAATACTGTTGTATAATTGTAAATCTTCAAAGTTGATGATAATTTCATGAAAACCTATATTATCAAAAGTCCAATTAATAGTTTGATGATTATGAAATATTGCATGCTTAGGATATTTGACTCTACTTAATATAGAATTATCAAGTTGATTCTCATTAATTTTAAAAATAAAACTTTGATCAGTTTCAATCCAATATGCTTCATTTAAAGATTTTTCTTTTCTATTCCAATAAACTGGGTTATAGCCACCCACTAATTCACCTGTTTCTTTGAATTTCATAAATACTATAGTTTGTTTGATGTTATAACATTCTTGTTCAAAAACTGATCATGAATATTCATCTTGAGTGCTTTGAAGAATTAATTCAAAATCATATGGAATGTCATTTTCATCATAATAGTCATTATTTTGATCAATCCAACCAGAAACCAGTAATTTCATTTTTGAGTTTAATAATTTTCCTTTCCTATTTCTTGTTCTTGGACCTTTATAATGAAGAAATCTATTTTCATTCAATGTTGAAATATCTTTTTTTAATAACCCACATTGTCCTATTCCCCATTGGATGACATGGCTCCAAATATCAATCTCATCTAATTTTAAATTATCACTTTCCAATATTGATACAAACATTGGTTTTTCAATTGTTGCAATGTCATTGGATTTTAAAATTGAACCTGGATTTTCACAAATCAATTTATCACAAAAATCTTGAAGTGAACTAAATTGATGTTTTGATGAAACTTTATAAACATAAATAAAATTTTGGTGGAGCCATTCACTTTTTTCATTGATTAAATAATTTTGTAAATCATCAATTAATTCATTAAAGTTTAATTCATCACATGCTTCAATAAGTTCTAAGATTTCATATGCATCCAGGCTATCAAGATTAATAATCCCATTATACATATACCTTTTAAAAATAAATAAATAGAAAAAAATAATGATTAGTATATAAATGTTATTATTATTTAATAATTATAATTTAATTTAATTTTAATTTATTCCTACATTAAAAGTACTTCAAAAACTCTTGGAGAAATATTTTCTTTTTCAAACAAAATATTGCCATCATCAGACTTTTTAACCCAATTTTTAGATAAAGCTGTTCTAAAATACAAAGACCTTGCTTTTAAGATGGTGGAATGAGCTTTAAAAATTTTATCATCATCTTCCACTCCAACTTTAATTTCTGTATCATAATAATCTGAATTGTCCAACAAATTTGAAAAATCATTTACTAGCTTATTAATATATTTTAAAGGTGAAGCATTATTAATGTTAAGGTTTTTAAACAAGTATGTAATATTTTCCAAGGATGAAATATTAGACATTTCAAAGATATTTATCTTAAAAAATTTATTTATTTCGCATTTAAAAAAATAATAACAAATCCAATAAATTGGCTTAGTATTAGGGAAAGTTGTTATATACGAAATCTAGGTTTATTATTTAATACGTGAAATATTTAGTGCCACAGCATAATGTAGCTTTTATATATGAATAAAGTTAATCTCAGAATAATTTTATCAAATTAACATAATTAAGAAACACAGATGTAAAAATTATTATAGTGCAGATCATCATCTATACAAAAGTTAAAATTTGAAATATTATGTGATCCATATGTTAAAAAATCATCACCATTCAATTCAGCTTTAAAAAGGGAGTAAATTCATGTAAAAAAACATTTGTCTCGATTTTTTTTTCAAATAAATAATACAATATATGTTGTAAAAAGACATGGAGATATCAATAGCAGATTACACGAGCAAAAGTATCACGTTTCATGATTCTGAAGGTTTGTATGTTGGTGAGAAGCGAGAAGCTATTGTCACAAATTGGAATTCTTAAACCCAAGGAATTTATCATAATAATCATATAACAGCACAAATAAAAAATACAAAAGTTGCCTCCATCACTAAAAGATTGAAGAGTATAGAATCAGGTTATCATTGACCACAACAAATTCTCCATGGATATCTTTGGCATTATCTTCTTCCTTATCAACTTTCTCTTCACAAGCACGTTTGATATTGTCTTCTTCCATTTATCAACAGCAATAACGGAAGAGAGATAGAATTGATAAAAGATCCTGATTATAATGATTAGATGTTGGCGCTACTAATATCAACGATAAAAAGGCTTCAACTGAAAACGTTAATAAGCAAGCATGAAATAAAATTAAAAAAAAAAAAAGATAAAATATAACAACTGAAAACGTTGATAAACAAACATAAAGATGATGACCAAAATCTTTTATGAAAGAGAATGTTCAAATAAAGAAGTTCCTACAATTTTGATGAAATACGAATCAAGCTTGAAGGGGTTTTTTGACCAAGTTTATTTAACACCGCGGTCATTTGAACGTAATGAACAAAAAATGGACCATATGAAGAGATTAATGGTGTTCATATGTTATCTTCTTGCTTCATTAAATAATACAAAAATTAATTCTTTTAAGTTCGACCTTGCATTCTATTTAGGTTCGGTAAGTACTGCCACTATATCAAGCACGAAATCAGTATCCTTTGATTACTAAAACTTCATCTAATTGTGGTGTTAATTGCATTCTTTAGTTACAGAATAACCAATCGTCACCTTCCAAGAGGCTTTGTTACTTCTAGGAAACCATTTACCAACATTTTTTGCAAATACGTATATTGTGATTACACTAACTATACTAAATATACTAATTTGAATAATTATAGTGTATATACTCACGTGTGGACATGGTTATCACAATCATTGTCTACAAAGGTGCCGATCTAAATGTTTGATATCTTGGACTATCTTCAAGTCGAAATCAAAAAAAATGTCAACGCATTAAAAGAAAGTATGTCCAAAAGATTAAACTAAAATGAGTTTATCGAAAATATCGAAATACAGTTGATGATTTGGTAATGTTGAATCAGCAATAAATGATGCAACATCAACAATGGAAAATTTTATTAGGACATGCAAAAAAAATTTTTTGGGTTGTAATTTTGTTTTTATTAATGATTTTTTCATACATCGTTCATGTTTTGTCTTAATCGTATATCTTATTATATTAAGGTTATTTTGATTATATCGAGAGATATGGTCAAGAGAAGGGTTAGGAAGAGTGTTATTCTTCAACCAAGTCGAAAACCAACCCTTTAAATACATTTTCGAGTAGTACAATTTAATTTGTTAGACTATTTCAAAGGTTTGTCCGCATGGTTGCTTCCAATATCTTAAATTCGAACCATTTGTTAACAAAACAACTGTCGGTGAAGTGATTGTTAGCAAAATGAATCAAACCAACATTTATTTATTTTTTACGTTATCAAATTCACGATCTTGATTGGTCAATCAACAA